AATATTGATTACTAAAAACCCCCAAATGGAATATTGGTATTTTCTGTTTTACCGTATTTCCTATCGAGCAAAATTTGCATTAAGACTTCATTTCAAAGATTTCACATCATTCTTTCCTTATCTTTTCACTTTGTTCTGATCGTTTCCCTCTTTTTCCTCTTTTCTCTCATTCAACTCGTTCATCTTCTTCACTCTTTCCCCCCTTTTCATTGTGAAATCTTTATACTTTCTTTCGAAATACCCGCTTGCTTTTCTTTTTTTGTTTAAATGTGAGAAATTTTGGCTTTGGTTATAAAAGAGGCTTTTTTCATAACCAAATTCATAACAAAAGAGTCTTTCATAACCAGAAATAATCGAAAGAAGCCTTTTTGACTTTTTGACTCGAACTTTACCTCGAATAAGGAAAAATAACTTTAAAAAACATAAATCTTTTAAATTTGATCTACTAAGAGTCAAAGAACTAAACCGTTTCTGTAAATTACCGTATTTCTTCGAATAGAAGACCGGGTAAAGAGTATCATCGCGTACGCCGGCGTAGCAGCCCTTTTTAAAATTTCTTTTCTGCATAAAAGCTTTCAATGAAGTGCTATAGAGCTGGAAAATGGCTCAAAAATCTGTTAGCTCATGTGGTATTTTTGAGTCATTTTCCAGCCCTATAGCACTTCATTGAAAGCTTTTATGCAGAAAAGAAATTTTAAAAAGGGCTGCTACCTAGGGGTACGCGATGATACTCTTTACCCGGTCTTCTATTCGAAGAAATACGGTATGCATACTTTTATTAACGTAAACTAGTAAGCATAAAACCTGGTAGTAAGGTCAAATTGATAGTAATCATTAGGCATGGCTATCCAACCTTCCAAACTTGGATCTTTTCGATCTGATATCTATGTAAGCAGTAATAGAGCCTGTTTGTGTTAGTAAAAGAAGCTATTAGTAATAGAAAAAGCTTGTTAGTAAGAGAACCTGTTTGTGGCAAAAGTATCCGGTGCCCATAACTGGTCGCAATTCAAATAAATCTTTTCGAGTCCATCGTATTCAGAGGAATTCCAAGCTAATCTCCAATCGGTCCAAGATATCTCCAATTCTACATAGGTGTCCAAAATTTGATGAGCCACATCCTGGCATACTGAAATTTTAATGGAAAACAGCTAAATTATCAAACCAAATCCACCAGGTACAACATTTGCATTTTGATGACAGTTTGAAAGCGATCTTCTTCTAAATATGCAAAGATTTTTGTAGAAAACTGCCCAAACTTGATGCATTCGTTTGTTGAAAACCATTCAATGGAGCCAAATCTTTGTGGTATTTTCTACTAGTGAAGATTTCTTCATAGAGTTCATTCGCTCGATTTAAAGATAGGGAGTGATTTCCTGCAAATGGGATTTGATTAGAGCCAACTTCAAGAAGCTACCATTTGCTCCAAATATCTGAAAGTTTACATTGGTTGTGTTATCGCAAAATACATTATTCAGCAATATTAATATAGAAAAGTTTACAAGAGAATACATCGACTTTTACGAATTTTGAAACATTTCAAGTGGTGAAAGATTGAAATGAGTTGCACTCTGTTTGCACAAGCATTTTTTTAAGTACCTTTTTGAGTGATTCAAAACTCGCAGAATTCTAGTATTACTTTCATTAGCTACTTTTTGTTTTAGATTTTGATAAGTTGCCCAATCTTTGAGATTCACTTTATAAACATCATTTGATTATTTTAGCAAAGCAAACATATTTTGTCCAATTTCGAGGCGAGATTCGAATTTATCAGAGTCGAATTAAGCGGCGAAACTCATTCGATCGTTTTTCCGAAAGTTTGACGCTGTTTTTTTAACTATGGATTTTTCTACTATGGTTTTCTCTTAAAACGACCAAAATCGGCTACTTTTAAACGGTGTGTTTTTGAATGAGGCCAAAAGTTAGCTTTCTCGGAATCGATAAACGGAGAAGACGTTTTTTAAGTCTAATATCAATGAGGAAACCTTGAATTTATTGCAATGAGTTGCACTCTGTTTGCACAAGCATTTTTTTAAGTATCTTTTTGAGTAATTCACAACTCGCAGAATTCTAGTATTACTTTCATTAGCTACTTTTTGTTTTAGATAAGTTTGATTTTGATTTTGATAAGCTGTCCAATCTTTGAGATTGACTTTATAAACATGACTGTGCAGTTTTGAGGTCTCATGTAATTTTGGTCACTTCTTTTCAAAAAAAATCCGGATTATAGAAGCAAAATATTGTCCTGAGAACTTTTTGGCATTATTTACATCTGGCTCGGCATAGTTCCATAAGAGATCTTACGGAACTATGCCTAGCCAGATGTAAATAATGCCAAAAAGTTCTCAGGACAATATTTTGGTGGCTAAATAGTCATTTCAAAAAGTGTTTAGGAAAGCTACAGTACTGGACAATGAAATATCATATTTGAAAAACGATAGTCACTTTCGCGCCTCTGTAACTCCCTTGTCTTTGAGTTTAAACTATTAGTGTTATACATTTTCTGAAAGCTCTTTTCAAGGGCTACACAATGGTAATATTAATATTTAGAAATATGGTATTTTTTGACGCATTTCAGCGCGCACAAGATGGGATACTCAAAATTGTTGATTTTCAAAGCTGTTTTTCTTTATGATAGAGTGCTGGAATCGCTCTGAGACTACGATTTTCGGAATCTACGCAAAAATTTACCTTAGAATAATCAATATTTGTAAAATTTTACCAAAATTTCATAGCGAAAAAAGTCACATTTGCGAAATTCTCACTTCTTGAGCGGTTCTTTACAAAAATTGTTTTGCGTGCAACTTTGAGTGTTTTTCTTTCTTTGCCTTGGGTAAAATGATAATAATTACTGTTTTTAGGTGCAATGGGAAAGCAACGAGGATGCAAGGATCTTCATGTGCTTACACAACAAGCAATCCTTAACGGCAAAAAGCAAGGTCTTAGCCAGAACCAGTTATCGGAACAGTTTACCGTCTCTCAGTCAACCATCTCCAGGTTTCTACAACGATCTAAAGTTCGAAAAGTCGAAACTTGAGCGACGAACTAAGAATCTCAAAGCCGGCAATGCCGATGAGAGGTTTGCACAATTGGAGCAGGCTTGGAATTCAATCCCCGTCAGTTTCATCACTAATCTTCTTGATTCAATGCCTCGGCGATGTCAAGCTGTAATCGACGCTAAAGGATTTGCTACTAAATACTGAAAGCCCATTGTGTGCTCTGGAGTTTTCTTATTATTGTTACTGTTTTTGTTACTTTTTCATTTTACTACATTTTTGTTAAATATTTGTTTTCCAGCTTCTTCCTCGCTTGATCGCTCAAGAAGTGAGAATTTCGCAAATGTGACTTTTTTCGCTATGAAATTTTGGTAAAATTTTACAAATATTGATTATTCTAAGGTAAATTTTTGCGTAGATTCCGAAAATCGTAGTCTCAGAGCGATTCCAGCACTCTATCATAAAGAAAAACAGCTTTGAAAATCAACAATTTTGAGTATCCCATCTTGTGCGCGCTGAAATGCGTCAAAAAATACCATATTTCTAAATATTAATATTACCATTGTGTAGCCCTTGAAAAGAGCTTTCAGAAAATGTATAACACTAATAGTTTAAACTCAAAGACAAGGGAGTTACAGAGGCGCGAAAGTGACTATCGTTTTTCAAATATGATATTTCATTGTCCAGTACTGTATTTTGGCCTGTGACCAGAGGATACCTCAAATCTTTTAAAAAAAAGTTCTATATGAGTAAAATCGAAGCTATCAAACAATTTTCTAGCGTAAAAGTACTTGAAAAATCTAATTTTTTAGGTTTTGAGTCTTGAAAACTTCATAAAATATCGTAAAAGTGATCGTTTAGGAGGGGACAGAATTTTTCACGCACCCTTTACTGATAAACCATGAAAAAAGAGAAGGCCTATTAAATTAGAACATTGAAAAATGCTTGCCATAACTCAAAGCTTCCTCATCAAACTTTTTCGGGAAACTTGAGAGTTCGAGTTTTTTTCACTTCTGAATATTTACTTATGAACTACTCTCAAGCGTCCTTCCTTGGGTGAGCGTTTGTTGTTTGATCTCCGTAGTAGTTTAAAAAAAGGCTTTTCTTAAATTTAAACTTTAAATAGAAGATTTATGCTTCCAACCATCATTTATTCAATCCCAAAATGACATGAAAACGATAAAGTTGATAAAATTGATCGCTTGAAAGAGAATGAATAGTCAAAAATGTCGAGAGAGGAGGAATTGACGGAATTTAGAAAACGCGTGGTCGGAAGTTTGTCGGATCAATTGTCTGACAAAAAAGTTGTCAAGGCAAATTTGTCTGACAAATTGTCTGTCAATAAGGAGCATACTCTATCCATGAGAAACAATTAGAGTGTGCTCCTTGGTACTGGTACTGGGAAACCCAGTCTTTTTATAACATTAAGTTATCTAAGAAAACAGCTTGCATTTAGATCGACGAGAATGGACTCGTTGTCCTCGCAGTGGAAAAAACTGTTTATTCCGTCATGTACGACCTGGTGGGAAGGATGACAAAGATGATGAGCCATTTGTGCACAATGATGATGCTTCTGATGATGATGATGATTCTGATTTTGATTTGGATATTCGTCTAAATAACCCATCATTTGTGGTGGAAGATGAGAACGAGGAATGAAGGCCGGTCAACATTATTTTTTTATTATTTGTTATTTCATAAAAAAAAGTTCACATCTCTCAAAAACAAACAAAACAGTTTATTCGTCAAACAATTATGCACAACACAAATATTTTGCTTAAACAAATTTCTGAAAGTTTTTGCTGTGTTTTTTAAGAAACAATGAGCTTATTTGGGGGTTATTGGGGTGCGGCTAAGACACGTTTTTGTTCTTTTCAGAGAGATCGAAGAATTTGGGAGATCAGAAAAGGAAATACTTAAGAATTTGAGGTTTACGAAATATTTGGTAGCTGATATACAAAAATGTCTGGGGTTCTTCTAACTTTGTCATCGTTTTATCTCCATCTACAAGGCTACCCATCGTGCTCTCTCCTGTCGAACGGGGATCAATAAAGCGTCGTTCTCGTCTGAAATTTGCATATGTTAAAAGATTTATTTTATTTTATCATTGATTCTTTTCTTTTCCTTTTCAAGTACGCAGCTAACTTGGGTTGAATTTGGCTCTCTTTCTTTCTTCCTTTCTTTCTTCCTTTCTTTCTTCCTTTCTTTTTCTTCCTTGTATTTCCTATTTCTTCTTGGTCAAAGAAAGCGCCGATAGCTCAGTGCTAGAGCATCTGTTCGGTAAGGAAGTACAGATTGATACTTAGAAAGTACAGATTAAATCACCTCAAGGTGAGCAAGACTAACTCTTGGGTTGAGGGTTCAATTCCTCTCATTTCCGAATTCCTTGCCATTCATTTTTTTACTTTATTCGGTTGTTAAGCTTAGAGATAATTTCTCTAAACAAATATTCTATACCTAATACGATTTAGTCTTGCTCACCGATTATATCATAAGCTGTTTAGCCAATCTAAACTTGATCTGATCAACTAATCAAGCCAGCAATTTAATCTGTACTTTCTCTATACTGAATCTGCTTTACATTGCTCTTAATAATCTTCTAAAGCTCTCGAGCTGGCCTCAAGACCTAAAGCTACTCAAAAAGTGTTTTGAACAGCTCAAAAAAACTGACTATATCTTGGATTGAGTAAATTAAAGAATTTGTTTATTTTAAAAATCCAGGATCAGGTTTTAAGTTTTAGGTTTTACTAGGTTTTCTATGTTTTTATTTACCATTTTTTTTCTACTAACATTTTTCCATTTATTTCGAAGCCAGGAATTTGATCTGTACTAAAACAGCTTTACATTGCTCTCAATAATCTTTTGAACCTCTCGAGCTGGCCTCAAGTTTAGTGTTTTGAACAGCTCAAAAAACTGACTATATTTTGAATTTAGTGTATATAAATATAAAGAATCAGTCCATCTTAAAAATCCAGGATGAGGTTTTAAAAGAAGATTCTGGTAGTAACACTCAGCGCAACAAAGCCAACAGCTCATGATTATGAGCTCTCATCCTAATTTCTCCTTGATTCAGCAATTTAACAAGGTCTCAACAATCAGATTTTACTAGGTTTTCGATGTTTTTATTTACCATTTTTGTTCTACTAACATTTTTCCATTTATTAGATAGTCTGAAATCGGTATCGTAACATTTTCCACCTTTAAAATCGCCCTTCTATTTCCACCTGTCCCATCCACTGTAAAGGGCAACAAAATTCTTTCACCTGTCACCAAAAAGTTTAAAATTTAGGCAAAAAATTACAGAATTATCGTACATCATTTCTATTCCGAGAAAAAATGGAAATTAGAGTTTTAAGTTGAAGTTTTTGATTGAAGTGAATAAACTTTTAAAGAAAAATGAATTTACAAAGCTTTTGGGATCGAATTTTAGTTGAATTTGGGAGTACTTGAATATACAGTACTGGACAATGAAATATCATATTTGAAAAAACGATCATCACTTTCGCGCGTCTGTAATTCCCTTATCTTTGAGATTAAACTATTAGTGTTATACATTTTCTAAAAGCTCTTTTCAAGGGCTACACAATGGTAATATTAATATTTAGAAATACGGTAAAGACAAGGGAGTTACCGACGCGCCAAAGTGACGATCGTTTTTTCAAATATGATATTTCATTGTCCAGTACTGTATCTATCACAGCCTAAAGGCTGTAAGTATAGCTTTTATCTCGGCTGTAAGTATAGCTTTTAGTGTATTTGCAATCTTTTTTTGAGTATTCACCTATATCAACTACTCGAAACATGGGCTGCATCGGCTCCTCGAAGGCGACATCGTAGAGAGATAGAGGGGCCGAGCGTTTCCCGAATCGCATACCTAATAAAGATATTCAGTTAAATAACACTGTTTACTAGTAGGATACGGTATAAGACTTTTATTCTATCACCTTGATGACATCCAATGCATTCACAACACGCTAATGTCATTCGTCCACCTGGACACTTTGCATCACAATCAGTGGGTGTCCGCTGAAAGAAAATGATTAAGTTTAGAGTTGAACTTTAAATTCTATAAGGCTTCTATTAGTAACAAGAGATGTAATTTTAATTTCAAAACAAAAAAACACCTTTTCTAGCGCACTAAATCCGGCATGGCAAGAGAATTAAAGATTTAAGTCCACTAGAAATGGTGTGTTTACATTTTTGAGCACAGATTTGTTAATTTTTTAGAAATCTTGGGTTTTGGAAGGGTTTTGTAAAGGGTTTCACTTCAAGAATGACACTAAAACACAGTTGATTTTAAAAGTGTTAGATTTTGGGAGAATTTCTACAGGATTTCACTATTCACCGATATCGGCTTTTCAACCACGATCACTGCTGGCGGCAATTTTGTTTGCCTTGACATTTTGATTGGAGATTTCTGAAGAATACAATACTAGGCTAGATTAGATATCTCAGAATCCTTTAAACAAACCTTTTTCAAAGCTGAACAGGCCAAGAAAAGAAGGAACGAGATGAGCAATGTCCGCATTATTTTGTGTGAAAGATTGAAACGAGTGATCGAGATGACGATCAATAGGGGATTACCTGAAAAGCTTCATTGTAATTTGTAATTGTATTGTAATTGGATACTGTAGCTAAATATATTAACAAAAGAAGATCATCAAAACACCAAGTTGAAGCCAATTTAATTAAATAAGATCCGATAGTTCTGCAGTATTTTAAAATTTTAAATTCTAAGAAACAAAGCTTGGAGATTATACATTAAAATATAGAAATTACAAAGTCTAGAAAATGTGAAGAAAACTTCCCAGACACACACCCAGCTTTTCTAGCGAAATCCTAAGCTTCTTTGAGCAAATAAATTGAGATTTCTTTGCTAAATCCATCCTGAAATCCCACTTTTCCCTTCAATTTCAATTTCCCCAACCCACTCCTTTTCTTGACTTCAACCCAAAAAAAGAGAAAACTTCAATGAAATATTCACGTTGATCCATTTTAAGACTCAGAATATTTAGAAATTTGTTCCTTGAGGGAAAACAAAAGATAATGATGTTTTGCTGATGGAGAAAGGAAGAATTTACTGATGGAGTTTGTTTTAGAAGATTGAATCACGTCATTTATTTGAGCTTTGTGCTTAATGGACAGCTTTGTGCTGTCCATTTGCTTCTGGACTGATTCTGTAGGGACTGATTACAGGTATTCACAAAGAATCCCAAAATATATAAATAGATCAATAGAGAAACATATCAAAAATCTACGCCAGTCAAGATTACGGTAATTTCCAAAATAGTCCATTAGAAGAGGAGTGCTTACACGAAAGAACAAATCTAATTTAAGCCTATTACACTAGAAATCAGAAAACGAAAGATCAGACAAGTGACTTTGAAACTAAACCAATCAGCCAATGTTTTACCAATCAAAACCAAGAATTTTGAAACTAAAGCTTTATCTTTTGACCAAAATTGTACAATTAATCAGTGTCAATGGAAACTTAAAGACAATTTAAATATTAAGTGAAGTCAACAGTCTAATATTTGGCTAATATTTGTAAAAATATGTTTATTTAATTAATTCAGAAATTCAAAAACATTCTCAAGAAACATTTTTGGTCTCCGGTTTTATATAACAAATTTAAAGGTACCGTAATAAAATCGGAATGTAAACGATGACTTTTCGAAAAAGAAAAAACTAATCCGAACAAAGCCCACTCAAAAAGGAGTCAGCAAATCGTAAATAATGATATCATTCGGAAAAAAAGGAAAAAAAACAAGGATCAGACAAGATTTTTAAAAAGATTTGAGAACTTTTTCAAGTCGAAATGGTTTAAAATGTTTCTTTTTCGAAAATTTGATAACCAATGATTTCATGGACTCAAAATATCGTAATTTTCTTATTTCTTAACCTTTTGAATCACGTCAAATGTTGGGTTTTTTTTGGTTCTGAACACCAGGTGAAAAGGAATCAAATTTTGGGTGTGGGCTTGAAAAGAGGAAGAGAATGAACAAAGAAGAATTTGGGGGAATGACTTTGAATGACTTCCTGATTTCAAGTCAATCTTTAGTCTTTCTAAAGTGTGTTCCTTTTGATGAGTTTTCTAAAATATGACATCTTTTGACGACTACGGTAATCTTTCCAGCTTTCAGTTAGTCCATTTGCTTCTGGACTGATTCTGTAGGATTCACAAAGAATGCCAAAATATATACCGTATTCTCTCTAATAGTAGTGCACCTCGGAGAGCCGAGTTGGTGACTATTTTACGGCTTCCAAGCTTTTGCAGAAGCTCAATACTTAAATCTCCCACTAGATCTCATCGTCAGCTACATTTTCCGACCCCACATCGATAGGTTCTGATAAGCGCTTTTCGAGATTTCGAGCAATTTAGGCGACGCACAGGGTGCAGTACTATTAGAGAGAATACGGTAAATAGAGCAATAGATCAATAGATCAATAGAGAAACGTATCAAAAATACACACAAGACACGCGCCAGTCAAGATTACGGTAGCTTCCAAAATAGCTCGTTAGAAGAGGAGTGTTTACACGAAAGAACAAATCGAATTTAAGCCTATTACACTAGAAATCAGAAAACGAAAGATCAGACAAGTGACTTTGAAACTAAACCACACATCAGAAAGCGAAATCAGAAAACGAAAGATCAGAAAACCAATTGTGAATAAAGACAATATTGTGGGCATTCAAATTATTCAAGATTCTGCAAAATCGCTCAATTTTACAGAAATATCTTATACTTTCCTATAAAAACTGGTTAAATTTGACATGAAATTGCAAAAAAATCACACTAATAACCGAAAATTTCTATAGAAATCAGTTAGTTTCAAATTCGTTTAGCACACTGAGAGTTACAAAAGATTTTCCCGAAAATTGAATTCCATCAAAGACTTGAGGGCCTGGATTTTCAGCCAAATAGGGAATGAATTAGAATTAAAAGATATTCAGTCAATGAAACTATTGATCCGAAAAGATTGACGTAGAAAGTGAGATGAAGGAATTGAGTTAAAGAATTGCGCATTTTGAAAACTGAAAAATGAAATAGGTAATAAGATTTGAAATGCGGTAGTTGCAGGGATGAACTTCTTAATTCAAAAATAGAAATTCAAAAAGAAAAAACTAAAATGCACACTTCGAACTTTCGAAAACACCTGTTGTGTGGGCTTCGAAAAGGATTTAAAAACGTCAGCACTCTGTGGGAGTTTAGTAGGAGGCTATTCTTAGGCCAAGTGATATTAAAACAAAAATGTTATTATCAGTGTCATTATCAGTGCTTCGTAAGCAAAAGATTGCTGGTTCATGTTTTGAATGAGCCACAAGCGGATCACTGACTTCCAACTAGGGATGTTCTAATCGATTAGGCAGATTAGAAACGGCTAAACCAAGACCAGAAGCTAAAATCAGCTTATTTCTGAGCTGATTTCTAAAATCAGCTCAAAAACCAGTTCTAGATTCGGTACTTTCTGTGGACCAGATTTGCAAAAAAATTAGAAAGTCAGAAGTTAGGTCTTCTAGCTAACTTCTGGTCTAACTCTGGCTTTGTCGCAAAAAATGCTTTTGGAATAAACTTATATCCAAATACTGATTTTAACCCAAAATGCACTCAATAATGGAAAAATAGATAGGTCAAAAACGTCAGGGTTACGGTGGGTTTTCTGGCTGAGAAAACAGAAAAACGTGTTTTCTTTTCGAAAACACGATCTAGATAGAAGTGTTTGTAGCCGAGTATTTTTCATTCTCAGCCAAAATTCACCTGATCCCCTGAAATGCCACTCTTAATTTTCTAATCTCTGAAATTCATTTGGGGTTTCATTTTATTGAAAGTCTTGCTCTGCTATGGTTTCTCTCAACGCAAAAGCAAAAACGAGGAAAAACAAGTCGACTCGTTTTGCGAAAATGAATCAAAACACGGGATTTCATCTAGAAATGAATCTAGAAATGATGTGAATTGTTTCTAGTGAATTGTTAAATTGAGTCATTAAATGGAGAAACATTTCAGCGAACGCGAAACTTTGAATCGAATTTAAATAATTTACCAACACTGTGATTCAGAAAGTGGAGGGAAATGGAGTTAATGAAAAATCAAAATAAATTGAGGAACATTGTTCGTCACCTTGACCCAACTCCTCGAAATTATGCGATTTCTTGCTGAAAATCGCTTTATGATTGAATATTCATTTAATTATCATCCAACCCCCATGATTCCCCACTGCAAATAACTCAATCTTTAGCAAGAGAATTGAACTTGATCTTAGAAATTTGGAGAAAAGGCGCAAGAATTAGTAAAACTGTCAACTTGTTTAAGTCTATTTTAAGCTAGGGTTTAAAAAAGCTTGCCTTAAAACAAGATTGTGGGATATTTGCCATTGACAATCGAACTTTGAGCTCAAATCACTTGGTATTCGGCTGTTGAATTTAAATAGTTTTTATACCAATTGACAGAGAAAGACTTGGCGCATCCAGTGATATCAAGAATATTTAAATCGGTCAGCCTAACACCAAGAGATTTGAGCTCAAAGTTGGATTGCCAGTGGCAAAGGAATGGGGCAAGATCAAATGTCCAATAAGCATTCAAAATCTAGTCAATGCAATGAATAAGGATGGACCAACCGGGTCTGGGCCTGGTTTCTAAATTCTATAAATTCCTGGGCCACTTACTTTTTGCTTAGATCATGCTAGACCAGGACTTGACTGCTCACCATTGTGGGACTTCTGATACGTGCCCCGTCCCATTTCTCATTGTCAATCCAACTTTGCGCTCAAATATCTCGGTGTTGGGCTGTCCGATTGAAAAAGCTTTTGTACCAATTGAAAACGCGGAGAAAGACTTGGAGCATCTAATGATACCAAAAAGATTTAAATTGAACACCCGAACACTAAGATATTTGAGCTCAAAGTTAGATTTCTAATAGCAAATGGGGTGTATCAAATATCCGACTTTAAAACTTAAATAGTTTTTGTACTAATCGACAGAGAAAGGCGCATCCAATGATCTCAAGAATATTTAAATTTTACAGCCCAACACCAAGAAATTTGAGGTCAAAGATTGCCAATGGGAAAAGGGGCGGGAGGTGTATCAAATCTCCGATAACTTTAAATCGATGTATTCTTTTGTTTAAGCTTGGCTCAAAGTAGACGCGTTCTTTGAAGTGTACTTTGTGCTTAAACTCATCCTTTCTGACACACTAAAGTTCAATTTTTCCTTGAAACACTGAACAAAATGACCAGTTAAAACTAACTGTGCCAGAAAGAGTTTTTTTACAAATCTTTTACAACAGACTTAGGTTTAAATCATCAAATTTATATCAAACTATTGAAAGAGAAACTATAGCCACTTGTAAGAATGAAAATATGAATGCTCAAGTACATTGCTCAACTTTTACGAGCAAAATTGGATAGACGAACTCGTGAAAAGTTTCGTCACGCGGCTTAAAATGACGAGATAACCAAAGAAAAAAAAACATTTTTTCCCATTAATTATTTGTTCCTCATTGAAAATGGGGAAATTGGCGAGTTAGTTT